AAACACACTGCTGGCGTCAGTTCAGTCACCCAAATATATTTAGCCCCTAATATTATGTTTGGTACATATGCAGGTCTGCTTCTCCAGGTAAGGTCTTTCAGTGGCAGGAATTCTTCTAAAGTTAAAATTTCCCTTGCATTAAACTTCTTACCTACTCCCTTAAAGTCCCAAACATGACTCTCCAAAAGACCTGCTTTACACAAGGGCACAGTCCTGGAAACTGGTGGCTTCTTATTCTGACCCAGTTCCACCCCAGTATAGCCACCTTAACATCTGGCACTTTTTTCCCTCCTCTTTTTCTCTGACTCTGTCACTGTTTCCTTTCTTTTCAATCATTCAATACTTCTTCCTTTAGTATAATCAGATTTTAGTCTAATTTCAAGTGATTTATTCTACTGTGTGACACACCATAAACTTCTTGTACATAACTGATGCATCAAAACTTGCATGAAACATATTTTTAGTGGGTAATTAAAAAAACAAAGATGGAAAAAGATAAATTAATATTTTAGACCTGACAAAATTTGTACAATGTGTTGGTTTTACACCAGTTAGAAGTTTCACAGAAGAGACATCAATACTCAGATACAACCTGGGCCATAGTCAGACAGAACTCTATTGGAAGATATTCATGACAGATTTGCATGAGATAATACCAGATTTGAATTTGTCTCAATCACTGGGGAAAAATAATGATTCACAAGGTTAAATTTCAATGACAATGGTGCAGTAGGACAAATGGTATATCTCTTTAACTGTCTCCTTTGAATCTATCTAAGAAAGTTAACCATGGACAGGTTTATTTCCTGTCTGCCATCACACAAGTTGAAGTTGGGGAGAAAAGATACAGCACTATCTCATACTGGTGACTGTAGCAAATTCGAGAAAAGAGACCCATTGCAAAGATCATTTCAATAAAGCTACTTCTCCTGTGATATTCATAGAAGTGGATTTGATCTATGGAAAATATTACTATACTTGATAACCTCCAAGCCAATAACATGACATTAAAATAGTCAGGTAGTAATTTGCTTACTCCCTTCAGGACTAAAATAATATTTCTCATATAAAAGTATAATTTATCTTTCCAAACTTATGATGTATAGAAATGAAAGAGTTAGTTCAATAAAATGAGTAGCCAAATCACTTGCTAAACAAATCAGTAATGACAGGTATTTACTAATATTGCATCAACATGATATGGTGACATGCTGAACACCATGCAAAAATTCATGTGTGCAAAAGTCCATGGCAAAAGAAAAAAACAGGGAAAACAACAAATTTGAGGACAGTAAAGAACACCTCTAAAAACATGAGATGAAGACTCTGCTTCACAATTGGTGCAAAAGCTGATCAAATTTTATTTTTTTGGTTGTTTTTATTAGTTGGAAGTGTTATTTTTCAAAACCAGAATATTTTATCTCACATAAATTTTATCAAAATGATTACAAGATCATTGGTATTGAAAATAGTTACAAATTGTGAAGAGGTCTTTTGGCTTTTTAAAATTTTTTTTGTTGATATTCAGAAGACTATTCATTTTGAAACTTAAGCTAATGCTAGAGGTTTTTACCTCAATATCTAATAACTTTTAGAGACTTCAATTTATGTTTTGGTTTGGAATATGGAAAAAGCTCAGTGTATTGCTACTAAGCCAAGAACAGTGAAAAGTCCAGTTTTACATATGATGCTGAATGTCCATTATTTTCTACCAAATAGTAGGTTACACTTTGTGGCACGTATAAACATTTAATATTATTTATAGTTTTCCATGTTCCAGGCTAACAATTTATAGAAAAAACTATTATTAAAAATAAATGTTTTAGGAGAGTCTAAAATTGTTGTATATAAAATTCTAATTTATTTATATTTGTAGTCCTCCAGATTAAAAACCAGAAGACGTGCACACACTTGTATTTTTCTCTGTTAACCACCAGAAAAGATGGGCTATTTTAGTACAAAAAACTTACAATGTCATCATTAAAATATCTTGTGGTGGAGATGGTACTGCTAGGAACTGGGTATGTTTTTAGCTGCATGTATTTATATATTTATAAACAAAATAACACCTTGTAAGTTAATTCTTCTCGCTACAATTTATCCCCCAAAGCAGATGTCTTGAGTTATTTGAAATAAAAACATTTACTTAGGTTTTCACATCTTTAGAAAAAACCCCAAAGAATCCTCTATTATTGAAGCCTGTTTTTCTTTCTTTTTTTTTTCTTTTTTTCTTTTCTGGTTTATTTCTTTGTTGTTAATTATTTGTCTTCCAAAAATATATTGATGCTTCTACATATAGGAACTGTTCAATTAAATTAGAAATGCTTATGAACATATGATTCCTGCCTAAATACACTGTGGATTGGACAGTCTGTGCTCAAAAAATGACTACAAAAATCAGGTTCTTAGACTTACAGAAAGGATCACCTGTGAAATGTGAATAATCGGATTGCAAGTAAGTTGGCAGAGGCTTTATGACTATAGGCTTGCAATTTTATTGCCTAGCCAAAGGGACATAACTTTTGAGTTTCATTCCCTCTGTAAGAACTTTATAGTTATTTTTGTTTTTTCCAGAAATTGTTTTTGATGCTTGTGATTCAACAACTTTTTCTAAACGAAGCAAATTGCAAAGATTTCAGCTGAGATTTGCTGTTGGAGGTTATCTCAGTTCTCCCAAAATACCCAGTATGAGCTACAGAGGTGTGCCAAAATCTCAAATCAATAGAACTTGCCAAAAACCCAAATCAATAGAATTTGATGGGCTTCTTCAGGTTCAACCACCTCATCCTCATTGCATGAAGAACCAGAACATGTCAGGAGGCAGAGCAGTGGGCAATAAAAAGAACAGCAAAATGTTCTTCTCTTGCACATGTTGTTACAAATCCAAATGAGAATTCACTCTTTTCTTTCTTACTGACTGACTCAATGTTGTTGAGTAAAAATCCTTCACCATATTGCTTCACTGACCCCTTAAAAGCCCAGATCAAAGGATCGATGTTCTTTTGATGGTTCCTCTTAGAGAAACCTCTTTTCATAGACAAGGAAAATATTTAATTGAAATTATGTGTTTTAGTTCTTTTTGTAATAGCTCTGTGGTACAGCAGGCAAGATTTAATCAGCACACCCAGTGAACTGTTTTCATTAGTCCAGAGGCAAATTTCAGAGTTTATTTATCTTCTATGTTTATGGAAATCAGTGCATCTGTAAAACATCTCTACATCTTCCATAGCAAAATTCTTTGCTGCATTTGGGGTCTTTTAGTTCCTGTTTGGGTCTCCAAAATGTTTTCAAAAATAATGGACTGGCAAGTTACTATGCTGTTGTGTGCTCCAGCTGAATGTGCTGGGATTTGAATTGTTTTGAGTGCTTAAATCTCACGTCTGCAAATGCCTTTTGCAAACTGCAGCATCCAGAGATTTGCTGCTGCTGTTACAACACTCTGGGAATAGAGTTTACTTAGAAAAAAACACCCTGGAGGAAAGAAATGTGCTCTTGTCTAGTCTGGAGCAAAGAGCTGGATTGTGCTCTGGATGCTCTCTGTGCAGGGGAGCTGGCAGCTGGGGCTGGCCAGGGTAAGCAGGGGCTCATGGGTGGCATCAGGAGCCATGGCCCCACACAAAGCACCCCAGGGCATCTGCAGAACATTATTTTGCTCACTTCTGGGGTAAATGCATGCAAGAGCTTTTGCAAGTCAGGAAAAGGCATGAGATTTTTTTTTTGCCAGTCTGTTGCACATAGTTTGGTAAAGTATGTGGAACACAAGTACCAAAGTGTTAGCAAGATGCTACCAATGGCAACCAACATTAAATTCTAGTGATAAAGATTCCAAATTGCTTTGGTCTGCTGCCAGAGTCATGGCTGAACATACTTTATTTTTTTTTTTTTTTTTTTTTTAATATTAAATAGAGAGAAAACCAAGGGAAATAGTGCTGCAAATGAAAAGCCTTAATAATAGTGCATTGACTGGTAATAGCTGTAAGGGATTGTTCTGAAGAAAACTCCATGTTTGACAAACCTTTGCATGAGACAGAAGCACTTTGGGGTCAGGGCAAGGGGAGAGGTTTATTTATTGAAAGGAACAGTTGTGACAATAGCTGTGAGAGAGGTTTGGTCCTACTGCTTGTTCTTCAAGCTAATTCATTAGAGGGGTCAGAAGAGCATGTCAGGGATTAAAATACATCTTTTTTTTTTCTGCTGCTGTTCTTCACTTGCATTCTCTTATCCTGGGGATGGAGGACCAGCATGAAGTCACACTATTTTCACTCCTGCACCAGCTGAAGCACTAACCTTGAGGCAGCTGTAAAGGAGGGTCACAGTATCTCCTCTGTGGACACCTCTGATATGAAGACACCTGAACAAGTGATGATTGCAAATATGTTGTAAAGAAATATTACAGAATTTATAGTAGAACTTTTTATTTAAAAAAAAAAAATCCATAGTTTTTTCTCTTTTCATCTTCTCTATCTCTCTTCCTTAGTTAGAACATATTTGTCTGAAATTAATTTGGCCCACAATTTTCAGTGTGGTCTAAGGTTTGTTTTTTCTTTCCAATGTTATATTTCATTGCCTTTCATTCTCTCCATATTAGATACATTTAATGTGTCTTTTGAGTTCATTTCTGTTTCTTGACTCCAGCTTGCCTCTTTCTTCTTTTGCAGCTTTTGCTCTCCTTAGTCTTGTCTCACTGCACATTTTCAATTTTCTACAAGGAAGGACTGCCATGAGGAGAAAAATCTTTACTTTGTCAAGGATGCTTTTATTTTTCCTTTTTTTATTTTATGCAGCATTCACAGCATATAATATTGTTTTTCACAGAGAGGTGAAAAACTGAATTTCTTCTCTACTGATAAGCAAACCCACAGTCTGTGTCACCTGGAGAGGACTGGGTTTTTATTCTTTTCCCCATTCCTCTTATGGATATGGCTCTTGGCTCCTCTTGGCTTTCCTGTTAGGAATTAGGGAAGCTCTCACCTACATAAGCTCTGTAGCAGCAGCACTGGAAAATGGTTACATTTGTTTTATTATAGCAACATGGGAACCCCTCGCTGATTTCTGACTGAAAGCTGGGTCCCTGTTGAGGAAGGAACAAAAATTAAACAATGTGTTGGCCCTGTTTCTCTTGTTCAAACCTTCCTGTCTTGTTCAATAATTGAGAGACAGCCTGTGACCTCCATTCCTCAAACTAGCACAGCTCCAGGCAGCTACAAAAACATGTTCAGACCTCACCCATTGCACAAAACAATGTCTCAGTTAGTGCTTCTCTTTGACAAATCTTTTTTGCTCACTGAACAGTCTTTGTATTATAAATCATGAGTAGATTACCCCCCAGATTTGGCTCCACTTCTCTTGAACCTCAATAGAAAACTAACAAACACCAAACAAGGGCCTCTGTTGGTTTGAGTCTGTGCTTAATGGTTGCTAACTTCAGGTGAAGTCTGCATCCATCCCTACAATATTTAACACTATGTACTGTCATGTATAATCAAATTTGGAGTAAAAAATTAAGTTATATAATTTTCAATATTTGAATGTATTTTTATTCCTATACCTTTACTGGCATATAATTTGCATCAGGATAGTTTTTTACAGGAGCTGAAGAGTAATTTAAAACCATAAAATAACAATGAAACTATCTGGAAAAACCTGTAGGCTTGTTCCCTTAAACAGCAGAGGTTACAGGCACTTCACCAGAGTGCCAAACTCAGCAATGATGACGGGTTTCATTATATTTCATTATATATCATTATCCATGGTGGTGGATTGACCCTGGCTGGGTGCCAGGTGCCCACCCAGGCTGCTTCATGACTCCCTTCCTCAGATGGACAGAGAAGAGAAAATATAATGAAAGGCACGTGGGTCAAGATAAGGCCAGAAGACATCAGTCACCAATTACTGTCATGGACAAAACAGACTTGACAAGGAAATTAGTTTGATTTGCTACCAATCAAATCAGAGTAGAGTAATGGGAAATAAAAACAAATAATAAAACCAGCATTCCCCCATCCCTCCCTTCTTCCTGGACTAAACTTCAATCATGATTTTCTCAACATCCTCCTTTCAGAGGCACAGGGGAACAGGGAATTGTGCTGTTGCGCTTGGGTTTTTCCCTCCCTTTTTAAAGACATTACCCTTGGGGCTCTACCACTGTTTCTGACGGGCTCATCCTCAGACAGTGGAATGTCCATCCTGGAGCTGGCTGGCACTGGCTCTGCTGGACACAGGGGCACCTTCTGGAAGATTCTCACAAAAGCCACCCCACCCCCTAAACCTGGCCACACAAATCCAGAACAGTCAGAGTCTTGCAGGACCTGTAAGTAACAGAAATGAGCATGAGAGAGCAGAGCTGCACAGATTGCACTATAAAGACCTCACTTAGAGGTTTTCATATAAGATTTGCTTCTAAATATTGCAACATACTATAAAGTCTAGAAGAAATATGTTCTTAATGCAGAAGTCTACTAAAAGCAAGGTAGAATCAATCTGTAGAAGACACTACAAAATTACTTTGGGGCTTACTGAGGATGACAGTGTTAGCTACAGCTGAGTTTCTTCTGCACCTGTATGGCACAGGTGACAGTCTTGACTCAGTGTAAGTCTAATGGGAGTAGAAATGCCTCACACAGCAAGGTGTTAGAGCTGTTTCAGACATATGAAATGGCCTGACTAGGTTTTTGAGAAGATGAGCACTGTGTTCTGTTCAAAAGGAAAAAATGTTTCAGAGGTGAACAGAACAATGCTGAAGTGGCTTGCTCTGAATGTTATTTTTACTTTTCCTTAAAGAGCAGTGTATGGGAGATTTGCAAGAGAGGAAGGTTTGGAAAAACCCAAACAACTCGCATTTGGTAAGGTGGAGGGATTTAGTCAATATTACACATGATTCCCAGACTACCTCGTTTAAGAAAAACACTGCTTCTTGTATTTCAAGTGAGTTTGGGCAGGATGCAGCATTATTTCTACTAAAGAAGCTTTAAGGTCTATTGTTCAAGGCTTTTTGACACCTAAATTCAGTTCAGCCCTTTCAAAATTCTCAGGGCATTTAACAGAGTGCATGTAATGCTCTAAGGTATATTGTGTAAACTGCCTCCATGATGAGTATTTACAAACCTTCAGCAGTCAAAATTCTTCATCAAATCTCATTTCTTTCTCAGTATTTCATGCTATTTCCACATAAAGGCAGTGAAACTGTTTAGGGGCTGGAACTTGTTCCTTTATAACAATGTCATGTAAAATGAAGTGTGGAAAAAATAAGTGGGATCGATGAGAAATATGTGGCTTAGAGCAGGGAAACCCACTCAAAAATAATGCATGCAGCTAGTGTAGGATTGATTCAGCTATGGCCATGTTGTAGACAAGAGAAACTTCAGTGCCTTGCCAGTATCTAGGTCTCTGTTTTTGTCCCCTTGTTTCCAGACCAGCCACAAGACCTTTGAAACATAAAACACCTTGGACAAGAGCTTTGGAAAGGGGATAACTTCCACAGATCCTTGCTCGGTATACTTTAGCTGGGAAGTATTTCACAGAGACCTACTCACTCAACACTATCTACAATTACAGTTCTTTTACATATTCTAGTCTTGGACTTTTAGATTACTTTGTCTCAAATTACAAGTCCAGTTTAAAGGAATTGTAAAAGCAGTGACAGATGCCACAAAAAAAATAAGCCCCCAACCAAACCCAACACAATGACCTCCTCAGAGATAAAAGCACCAGCTGAGCTGGTGAAATTTCAAAATTATGTTTACATGGAGTGATTTGATGATGCACAAATGTGTGTATACGTGTATGAAAGCCTTTGAAAGCTTTTGAATTAGTTTAATGATATTTTCTGATTTTAACAGAGTGGAAGTTTCTCAAATGTGGGGCAATTGCAAGGTATTTAATATGCACTTGCACTGTTTTATATATATTTTTCAGTCTATTAATGCGATGTATTTACATCTCATAGGATTGCTACAACTTTTTGCAAACCTCAGGTTGTTACTCATGAACCATTTTTCCATCTTCTCTTCCCAGTATTTTAATGGCTTCATTGACTCTTGTGAGGCCTTTCCTCAGCTGTCTACACCATGTATGTGTCTGACCTTCTTATCCCTGCCTTTCCCCACCTGCAGACCCAATCTGTCAGTGCCAAAGGTTTCAATTTAAGATAATAAACCAGAAGTGACTCCTAAGCCCACAAAGAAGTGACATCCAGGAAATATGTCTCTACTGGACCTTCTCCTCTGGAAGGCTGGGGAGCTTAGTGCCCTCTCCCCACTGTGTTCCTTTCCCCCTGTTCCTTCTGAACAACTGGCACGTCTGTGATGTCTCCTCCCCTGCACATGTCCCCAGATATCACCTTCTGTTCCATCACTGGGCTGGCACACTCAGGCTTGTCTTCCAGGAGCCACCAAAGGGTACAGCCAAACACAGTGTGTTTCCAGCTTTCTGCATGGAAGTGGGTACTTTCTAAAGACACCTTTTCACCCGCTTCACCCACAGATGGTTTCTTGTCTCTGTCCTGGCTCCTGGAATGACCTCTCCATGCCGAAGATAAAAGTTCATATTGCTCCTTTATATCCTACTTTGTTTTGTTCTGTCACCCAGCTGTAATACAAATGCTCTTGCAGCTTCATATATTTAAGAGCCAGCCAGATGAAAAGAGGCATATGTAGCAGTGAACACAGCACAGGCACGTGTGCTGATACGATTAATTCCTTGTCATCCGCTATAATGTTAAATCTAATTTGAATTGCAGCCCTTGGGACCTGCAATTACATTTGTCCATCTGTCAATAAACTGCCATTTTAAGTTTCACTGTAGTTGATTGCAGTTAATATACAAAGCTTTTCCCTTGTTGTTCTTCCATCCCCTCATATAGCCACTTGTTTTTTTTTTTCCAAATATAATTAGAGACAAATAAATAGAAGCAACACTGAGTTAGCAAGTTATTTATTTAAGAAAAAGCTGAAGGATCAGAATAGATACTATCTTCTCAGGTCCAGATTAAAAATACCCACCAAGACTCCTTAACTACAGATAAATGAAGGAATAAGTATAAATGAAACTGAAGTACAGCAAACCAATAAAATATAATATGTGAGGGACAATACTTACCTAAAACATACTCTTTGTTTCTAAAGTTTTGCTCCTAGTGCTAAAAATGTTCACTCTGAACATTCAAGTTTGAATCTCTTGTTCCTTGTTTGTTTCTGGGATAAAGTCTAACCCAGTAATGAGTAATGGGCAGTCCCAGAATCCATTTTAGTTCTACCCATGAGGATGGTGGGACCCTCATTTAAATCTGCTTTGCTTATGTACCCTAAAGAGCCTTGTAAAAATTCTCAGTCCTCTGTGGAAAATGGATAGAAAATCGAGTCTTTGTTTTTGAGTACACTTGCTGCCTTCAAATTCTCAAAGCTTTTCAAGAAAAAAAGTCAGGTAAATATTAACACCTTGAAACAAATTGGAAACTTTGAGATTTCTAGTGGTAGCACATGAAATGCATTACATATTAAAAATAAAATTAAAGGGATGTTTCAGTTTTAATAAAAGTAACCTTTTATGGATTTTTTTTGGTTTTCTTTCTAATTTCTATTAGGAGGATTCTAATTTTACACCAAAATCTAAACCTTTCCTTTTAGCAAAAAATTCAGAGTCTGTTTTATATTATCTAAGTGACCTTCTGCTATGGATCATTTTGTTTAAATTAGCTTTATAGTATTTTTAAATAATAAACAAGATTATGTATAACTTTCCAACCCTCATATCTGCATTTTTCTATTTTTTTATATGATATTTTTTTACTGATGGAGTGGAGCAAAGAACCAAAGCTCAGCTCTTAGTGCTATTCAGCGACAGGACTAGAGGCAAAGGGCACTATTTGAAATACAGGTAATTCCACTTAAATATGAGTAAAGACTTACTTTAAGGATGATCAAGCACTTGGAGGAGGCTGCCAGAGAGGTTGTGACCATCCTTGGAGAACCTGGAAACCTGTCTGCATGTTGCATGTCCCAGGCAACTTTTTTCATAGAAGGGTGTTGGACTTGATGGTTTCCAGAGGTGCCTTCCAGCCCTCACTGTTGGCTGCTCAATCACCTTGGTCAGTGCAAAGTGCCCTTGGTAAAGGGCTTTCTGTTCTCTGTGTGAAATTGCCTTTTTGTCCTTTGTTGACTCAGAGATTGATTGAATGGGTTGTGCTCCAGTGTCTTCCTAGTGACTGAGGGGAGGCTGAGCAGCCAAAAGTTCCCCAGGTTCTTTTCCTATGTTTTTCAAAGCTGCGTGTTTAGTTGGCCTTCTGCCAGCTCTCATTGACCTATCTGTCATTTAAAAAAAAAATAAAATTACAAATTGCAGCACTTTAATTACAGTGGTCATTTTTGTTCAGCCCTGTAGTAAAATTCTATGCACTCCCATTCATCTGAACACATCCAGTTTATCTAAAATATCTGTAAATTTTTGCTTCCTACAGTCTTTCCTAACTAAACAGGTACCTGCAGAGGCCCAAGAGCAGAATTTGCTTGTGAAGCATGTAGTAAAAAATATTTCTGTATGGGTCTTTTTCTGGTTTTCTTATAGAAGAGCTCCTTAGAAAAGCAAGTCTTTTGCCAAAGCTAATTAATTAACTAATTAACTAATACTAATTTAATTAATTAAATAATTAATAGAAATTCTGGTTAGTACAACAATGAGTAAATAGCCTGGGTACCTCTCTTGGCTTGTCTTCAGGCAGACACTCGAAGAAATGTGTTGAAATTAACATTTCTGTCAATAACCTGAATCACGTAATTGTATGTCTCTCTGTGCTTACAGCAGTAAAGTGGCCTTAATTATGTATTATTTTCGATTGTCTTAATTTCTCTTATTTCGGTTTAATCTGAAACTGAGATAAGTTAGCTGGAAAAAAGCAACTTAAATTCAGAATAATAATATTCCTAGGGGGATCTAATGCTGTTTAATGACTGTAAAATACCCTCCCTGTGTATTTTCATGTAGTTAAGCCCCAAGCAATAACCAAAATGCACACAGCTTGTTAATTCTGAAGAAACGAAGTCAGAAGTATTTCAGGCTAAAGAAGTTCTTTTAAGATCAGTAGGATAATAATGCTGAGACACGTTGCATAAATGGGTTAATCAATTCACTGTAAAAAGTTGGCTACACGTTATAATAGTTCTGTGCAAAGGAATGTCTTAATGAATCATATTATGTATCTAAATTTATTGTGAAATACCATATGGAAGATCATTTTAACAGCTATGAAAAATCCCAAGTGTTCTAATGACTAAAAAATTAAGCCCCCTTTGAAATATCCAGAGGAGTATTTGCAACTGATGTATTGTGTAAAATTTAATAATACACGTATTGTATAAAATGTTATGATTTTGCACACAAGCCTAATTCTCAAAGACAACTTTTAGGTACAAATTCTCCTGCACTAACTTTCTTTCCTGAAGAAAGGAAGCATTTGTTGCAGATTACTTCAGTGTCCTCCTTTCTGTACATTAATAACCAAGCTCCATGACAAGTCTGTTTACCCTGCTATTCATCCTTCCTTGCTTCTGTAGTGGTAAGTGTATATCAGTGCCATTTGAAACTGGAAACACTTCTGCCAGGGATCAGCTGATGGGAAATTCTTGGTGGGTACAAGGTGAATAAAGGGTGAAGGCTAAGGAAAACATGGCTTCGAAAGGGGTTGGAACATTTGACAGTGATAGCTAAATTTACAGCTCTGGATTTTTCTTCGCTTCTTCTGCATAGAATGTTTTGTGCTGCCGCTGTGGAGAGTTGAAACTCCTCTTTTGTTCAGAAACAAACACGTGGCCAAGTCTGCTTAGATAGGATGACAATGGAGAGAAACAGTAGCTTGAAAGAATGTCTGAAAGAGTGACTACTAAATTTGGTTTGAAATAATTTTACATGAGAAATTGATGATAAGCAGAAAAGCAGAGAAATGCTCAGTGACTATTGTTATGAAAAAGAAGGTCTGACAAAAAAAACCACCAGAAGAACAGAAATGGCCTTTTCAACCCCTACTTTTACCATTTCTATATTAATGTGGGGCCTTCAGAGTACTAATATTTGAGTGTTTATTTCCACATCTCACTGTGCACCAGATCTGAGTGAAATGCGAGGATATATACACTGTTTGTAAATGGCTGACATGAAAATTCAGCTTGATCTGAATATTGTTTGGTATATTCTACATTGGCTTTTTCTTAAAGAACACACCTCTAGCTGTTTTATTCTGTTGGAGCTTTCATTATTTGATGAAGTGTGTTCAATTGGAAAAGGGAAATCACATGGCTTTTGAAACAAGAACACACACAAGCCTTAAGAGAGATCTGTTAGATCTTAATCAATAGTTTAAGGAGAAATATAATTAGCTAATTAAGCCTATTTTTCCAGTCTCTGTACACAGAGTTATGTTGAGCCAGTAATTTGCTTGTATATTCTCCCTTTCCACATACACTGAATTGAAGAAGCTTTTATTCAGTACAAATACTTGATATCAAGCTTTTCTACATAGGCTGACTTTTAATATTTTGGGCCAATTTGCACTACCAGCAGAATGATCATATGGAAAAAAAGAGTGGCTTCCCTGATACAGAGTGCACTACAAACATGCATTTGTGGGAGAACTAAGCCTCAGAAGCTGTAAAACAAAACAAAAGGATGGGAAAAAAATGCAAAGAGATGGAAAGGTGATCAGAATAATACAAATTATAAGATTTAGCGTTGAATAACTGCTCTTTTACACATATTCCTTAGTACTTTCTCTGCTGTGACTAACAACCCTGGCAGCTGCAAATATCACTGAAACTGAATTTTACATGAGAGCAGTTACAGAAGACTTTCATTAACTTTGGAGTCAGTGAGACTCAGCTGCTTAAATTGTCACTGTGAGCAAGTTCAAGAGGAAATGATCACTCAGCTCATATAACTGCCTGGGGATTTTTTCCATTCCCAGATCCTTGTTAATATTTCTGTTGGCAAAGTTAGATCAGCCCCTCAGTCCTCACCCCAGATGCCAGTTTGGCAGACTACAGTGTTTAATTCCTTGGAGAATTAAAATTGTTTTATCTCAAATCAGGAAAAGATCTGAGCAGTGGTGGTTCTTGATTTTTATTTATTTTTTTCAATTGGGATGAATATATTCCATAGGTTCAGCCATGCCAAATTTAAACACTTAGTACATCATAAAAAGAGAATTTTTTTCAAACACAGAATGAAGCCCACAGAAACAAAGAATCCTTGTCTTAGTATTTGGTACTAATGCCTACGC